GCCCCCCTTTAACAGAGAGTGAAAGAAATGGTGTTTTCTCCGGAGATCTGAAACCTGAATATTTCGGAGACCTTCAGTCTCTCCATCGTCACACCATGATTCATGTTTCGAACGTAAGTTATATATTTTAATGGTAATCGTCTCTTATATTACGTGGGTCATACTGTTTTTTCCTTTAGCACAGGGGACCATTGTGAGATGGTACACACAGTCTGAGCATGTCAACTGGAAGTTATATTTTATGCATACGAACCATCTTTAAATTTTTCTCGGTAACTTCCAGTGTAGACCCCAGTATAATATTTAATTGAAGCCCACTGAATAGTTTCGGAGCTGAAACATGGAAACTGATAAAGACTGCCGTCTTCTGGGATGTGGCGTCTCGTAGATCTTGTGTGAACTGACGTTTCGGGGGGTTGCAGCCACCTGCTCACGCTGGTTCCTCGCTCGCCAATTATTCTAACCTGAAAATAGAAGCGATAAATTCACACAAGGTCTACCCGGCGAGACATTCTAGAAGGGGGAATTCTTCATTGTCGCCTCCGTGAACAACTCAAATTTTCCACGACACTGATAGATCTCCACATTATGCGTTCATTTCATTTCTCCTTATGCAGCGCTCCCGCAAAGTGCACCAAAGGGGCTGTCTGTCCCTCTGTGCTCTGATGTGTGTGGCAGTTATGTAAGATTTTACCATCAAAAGGGGATAAAAGCCGAAATGACGAATAGAGAGGCATAAAGGTCTCTCGAACTGCAGAAGAGAAGGGACAAGTGGATGCGATTTTCGCACTTACGGAAGCGAATTTCTCCGAGATCTTACTAAACTTCGCTCCATCAATGAGAATATATTCTCATTTCTTTGTTGAAAGTGCCAACTCTCACTGAAAATCGGATATTTCTCTGGCAGAGGCCCTCCTCAGAGTACGCAAAAGAATGGTGCTTTTGTATTTGAATGACGCTTAGAGAAATAATCGCTGCTTATTCTGAGGATCACATAAAACCCATAAATGTATTGTTCGATTTGTCATTCTCACCTCAGTGACAATGAAGTTTAAGGTCTTATTGTTTGTAACGTCGTGTATTTGGGACATATTTGGAAGTTTCGGACGAAAGTCCTCCATCTTCAGGATCGAAGAGAACACTAAGCAAGAAATCAGCAGAAACTGGCTACAAGTTAAATTTGTTTCTCCACTTCTCTAATTTGTTTTTTTTTTCGAAAATGGAGATAATCCTCCAAAACACGGATTTCACTCTAAGTTACACGGCTTTATAACCCAGAAGATCGATGACGGTATTTTAGTAACAAAATTCAGGTTTCTTTATTGTTAATGATGTGATATATATTGTCACTTTTCTTTAAATGGTTGACAGATTACAGGGATATTAATATGGCTATAAACCAACCAGATACAGAGATCTTGTCTTCGCTTGTCCCATCGCTTTACCAGAGCGTCGAAACCATCAGAATAACAGTCCTTTGACTGTTCAAAAAAATTATTTAAGAATACCCTTCACATTGTGTCTTTTTGCTCATTAAGAACGCACAACAGAACTCTGATTCTAAGTAATACACTCCTCAAGCACGGTAGCCATTTTGACTACGGAAACCGGCCTCTGAACATGCGCATGCGCTTCTGCTGCTTATACTGTCATGAAGCTGGACTGTGTTGCCACCTAGTGATACACGTAGAGAACTTATTACTTCCATTACAGTTGTTTTACTTCTATTTGTGGCCTGTTTACTGATTCTCCCTCGTATGTCTGCGTTTTCTGCGTTGGTAGACATTTGCATTGAGTCGATCTCTCATCGAAAGAATCATATCAGGGATCATATTTGTAGTTTCAGATATAATTAGACTGAAACGCGTCATACGTCTCACAACACTGTGGACCTTCAGGGTCTGTTACTGGGAGAGCATAACAGTCATTAAAATTAAGTATTTTTAATGTCCTAAATAGAAGGTAGAATTTCAAGCCAGTTGGATAAGAATCAATGAAAAATAACACTTCATAAATTTTGACCTGTATATAATTTAGGAATATCGGCTTCGGTCTAGAAAACCGAAATTAACGGCCGTGGGGATTCGTTGTGCTGATCACGCGACACCCTCTATCCGCAAAAGTTGGCACTAACTTCGCTGACAACGGCGGTCGCTCGGTCGGTATAGTTCGCTTGCGGACTAAAATCACGGAGTTTTTTTTTATAATTTAGGATATGAGAAAAGTGGTAGAACACTAAGAAGATAGAAGGACTAATTCTGAATTGAAACTTGGGGCCGGACCAGTCAAGTAAAACTAATCCTTATTAAGGATCATGGCGGTTTTACTTTTTCTCTGCTGTATGATTTTCTGGCATGTCCTCATCTACTATATGCAAGTAAAATTTCGTGTAAAGGAAGGCATGTGTGCATGCACGTAACTGGAGGAACACTTCTGATTTATTTAGGGATCCGTTGAAGGATGTATAAGTTGTTGTAGAATGTGGAGTTTTATTGGAGAAGCGCTACGTAAGGCATGTGAGATTTGAGACTCCCATAGCGGTAAGTATTATCACATGCATGAGTGACTGTAGACGGGGTTTGGATTGGTAATCTGATTTATTGAACTCTTGCAACTCTTAACTACAAGTAATTATCGTGTTCTCAATATTGTACACATTTCACAAATCAATGTAGGACACACTAGGTCTTCTCAATCTCTCAGTCTTCATTAGTCGTTGTTTGAGTTCCCGAAACATCCCCGGCCTCAGCTACAAGCTTCTAACAGCAACAGCTCATAGAGGCTGAACCCCCAACGGTTATCTAACTCACCAACCAACTACTTGAAGATACTGTAACCCCTAACTTGTCTTGCTTATAACATTTCGGCACGGACCGCACACAAAACACTTTTCCTCTGTTGCAGTGCAATTGTAGCATTCCTGGCTATTGAGGTGCTCATGTGATCGCTACTTAGCCATTGCCTAGCAAAGGCTGCTTTATAGTTGCTTATTTCGCAGTCGTTGCTTAGCAACAGGTCTACATGCCACTGCATTAAAAGTCCTATCTTCTTTAATATGATACGATGAAGTCCAGGAGAATTATATTAAATTTTTTCGGCCCTTTTCTGCTTTTTGCTTACTTGCATTATTCTTTGATGGTGAAGATAGAGGCAGCACGTTCCTCCGAAACGTCTACAATATTCTGCCAGTCTACACATTGTCACATCCATAAAATAATATTCTACATAGAGTATGTTATGTAAGAGACAAAATAGACAAAATGAAGCATAACAGATATGCACAGAAATCCTATAAGAAAGCCATGAAGAGGGAGAGAGATTATTCACGTGCTTTTTAAATTCTCATTTGTAAGGAAGAACTATTGGTAGACCTTGAAAATGTTGGACGGAAACCTTAACAGGATTGTGTCCTATCTTTGAAAGGCAAACCAAGATGAAATTGCATTGGTGTTTCCCATGTGGCTACCACGTGACTAGATAGGGTTCTTTACCCAGCAGAGGAATTGAATTTCCACCCTCTGCTATCCCTTCTCTCTGGGATCCGTCAACCCCCTTGTACGAAGGGTGAAGCTCTTTCTCTGCCGATAAAGACGGTCTTATCCTTGAGGTCACATTCAGTCCTTCTGTAGGTGAAGTTGAAATCTAACCTCCTTGTCAACTATTCACTTTCCATATAACGGTTCTCATTTATAGCCTCAAATATAAGCTATCCCATGGTCCGTCGGTCTGTCTGTCAGTTAAATTGCTGCTGGGCACAGCCAGCACAGTCAGTCTTGGTGTCGGGCCCCATCGGGACCCATGGCAAAATTTTTGTTGTTTCCGAGACTTTCAAGTGTTTCGAGATGGGTATAATTATATGGTCAACACAACAAATTCCAAATAAATAAATTAATTACTTTATTAACATTTAATTATTGTTCTCCGTCTGCTATATTTTTTGATCCAGCTGAGTTATCAACAGGCAGTTTTCATAATATATCACTCTTTGTTTAATTGTGTTATCGTAATATGGATCCATTATCAGTAAATCATATTAATATTAATTTCTTTACCAATTTCTACGTCTCGCTGTATTACTGTGAGCCGGGATAGCGCAGTTGGTATAGCGATTAGCTACAGGCTGGATGACGGAGAAGTCGGAGTTCGAGGCCCGGTAGGGTCAAGAATGTTCTCTTCTCTACAACCTCCAGACCTGTTTTGGGGCCCATTCAGCCTCCTATCCAATGGGTACCGGGGGCTCTTTCCCCTAGAGTCCGTCGCAGCACAACAATACAATGGTCAAGGTTAATATATCTGCATGCCTATCTATCTATGGCTCTACAGCCCTTTTTTGGAACTTGATCGTTTTTCAGTTTCTTAATCCTATGCACAGTCGGTAGGACTTCTTGGACGGGGGATCAGCACGTCGCAAGGCCTCTGCCTACACATAGAAGAACACAAACACAGAATAAGAGTACATAGACATCCGTGCCTCGACTGGGATTAGAACCCACGATCCCAGCGTTCGAGAGAACGAAGACAGTTTATGCCTTTGACAGTTCGGCCACTGTGATTGACAATCGGACGATTCACTAAGTCGAAAATTATAGCCCTAAGCAATTTATCCTGCTGTTTGCGTAGAACGACTCAGGAGAAACACTAAATGCTTCGATAAGGACAACCGATCTCGACCTAATTTCGTTCTAGAGATTTCCTGATTTAAGAGGCACATTGTTAACCACTGACTAATTGCCGCTCGTCTGTATATGAAGTGAGTCACCGTGACCTTGTAAGTTAGTAATCACGACTTGAAATGCCCTTTAAGACAGACTTGAAACGAAAATATCACCAAGTGGTTCGTATCAAAGAGAAGCTAAACATATAACAGTAGGAATGCTTTATTTACTTGGCCTTTGTAGTGTTTGCCCCTTCCTAAAGCGCGTCTCTTTGATGCGTATGCGCACGCTCCACACAACGTCGCGACGCCGTATGATGGGGTCCAGTACCTTACGCGGCGCTGACTGACTCCGTCGTGTGTGAGACATGATTATACTGATCCTATACCGGCAATAAGTATCACAAGTCTACAGTGACGGGTGTTATTTCCTTTACGTGACTGTCCTGTTGCAAGACATTGTCTGTAACTGTACCGGAATTATTTCATTAAGTGTCATTCGATTAATTAAATGGCTGTAATGTCATATAGAGTGTCGCTCACTAAACATAAATCCTTTTTCACGATGTCGTTTGCTTAATAACATGAGTGTAGAGTCAGTGACTGTCAAATTTGCTTCATTAAGTGTCATTCGGTTTATAAAGTGACTTTTCCCCCATATACAGTGTCGTTCACTACAACGGAAATCCTAATTATAGTGTCACTCGGTTATGAACGTGATTGTACCGCCGCAAATTGAAGTGTTTAATGTTCACAACTATAACAATTACTTCAGTAACTGTTATTCGGATGAAAAACTCACTGTATTCCCACCGTAACATTTCGTTCGCTGTAATAAACCCCTTCATGTTGTCATTTGTTTAACAATGTGATTTTAACGCCACATATCCAAATATGAAGTGTCAATAATGGAATTACCTCACCATCTGTCAATTGGTTAATAAACTGACTGTACCCCTGTGTCGTTGAATATGACATAAACACTTATCGCAGTGTTATTCAGTTAAAATTTTTAATTAAACATATTAAGAACTACAACGAAATATGAATTACTTTGTGTAGTATAATTTAAGATAGTGAATGTAGTGTCAGTTGCTAAATATAATATAACTTATTGGAACGACGTTAATCGATTAACCAATTGGTACATCAACATATTTAAAGAATATTAGTCGTTAATTATTTCTTAATGCAGTGTCATTCTGTACACAAACTGTCTGTACTGCCACGAACTGAACAAACAAGAGCAGTAATTTCTAACAAAATTCAATGCACGCGCAGTATCTGAGGGTGTCAAATACAGTGACATTATTTGAACAACGTGGCTGTTTCGTCGTAGATTATAATTATTATTCATGGAAAATTTGGACCCCGCTCTCATCAAACACACGTTTCCCCTGCAGGCTTCATTCGACAGAGTGAAAAATTATTCTCAATATACGAGTAACTATATAATTTTCTTCGTTCATGCTCATTGAATATGTTAATGACAATGATATACGGTTCTAAATTGTATAATGATATTTCTTTAATATTTTACTATGATGGATTTTACTTACATGAATGAAAAAAAAAAGAGTGGACATCAATTTAATTTTCTTTTATTGTGCAGCAAAAATGACAAATGACTTCAATATCTTCTGGAAATATTTCGAAACGAAAAACTGACATTTTGTTGTTACTGTATTATCGGTCAAGAATGGTCCTCAGAAATCACAATAAAATATACTCTTTATATCCATAATGAAAGACACGAAAATAACAGATGCATCAGTTGCGTAATATGGAGAGCATGGCTATATGTAGTGGATATTTGTAACTTGTGTCAGGTTATTAATAACACAAAATGTAATTAAATAAACTTAGTTTATTTACAAAATTTATCTTTAAAATATTCACAACGGTCAAATAACATTTTATTAATTACATTATAATTATGTACGGGAAAATTGCATTTTTTTTAAATATAATTCTACTAGATCGCATCTAAATCATATTGCTGATAGGAATATAAATTTAGATGTTCTATATTCTAAACGCCATGCACACTGCGTATTCAAGAACGTGCAAGTCAGAAGACAATAGTGATAATCGCTTCTAAATATTTCTTGTATGCACTAATGATAATTACTGATGTTTGAAGATATAATACAACGAAATTCAACTTCATATCTTCTATAAAAGCGTTTGAAATGTGTCAGTCTTGTATCCGTAAGAATTATATTTTCAGAACTTATAGTGCACAATGGAAACGCTTCAAGATTTTCAGATACATTCAGTCAACAATATGATTAGTAATTTTAAACCTAAATATCCGTGATTGTTTTCACTACAGACTTTATTCTCATCTGAATCATTGCTTCCGTGATCATAATTATACGTATTTAATTTGTGTTTGACTTATATGGTCAGAGGCATTGTTTTCTAATTTGCATGAACACAAATATTTTAATGAAAACTGAATTTCGCATCTACTCTCACGTGTTATTGTTTGTGACCTGTTTACATTTCGTAAATAAAATTAGTGCAAAACTTTGTAAAAAATATTAACATAATCAGATATAATATTAACCCTCGGAATATAAGATGTATTTGTAAAAATGAGTGACGTGTTTCTTTAACACCTTTAGCATCTGAACATAGCTTTTTATATTTTACAGACAAATCTACCATAAAAGACTCAAAGTTTTGTACCATTCCTGTTCGCCTAAAGAAAAATTATACATATTTCAGGTTGTGTTTATAATGTTGCCATGGAAATACAATAGCCAAACTGGTTTTGATATTAATTAAGGCGTACCAATTACCTGCAACAAACAAAGTAGTCGAAATGAAATACGTATTTCGGAGTGTATTTCAACACTATAAAAATGTTTCAATTTATACGTCGTATGCCGAGTGAGCAATATGATGAAGCTATTGATTAACATTAGTGCAGCAAGGAAGAGGGTGAACTAAGAAGGGTCAGAGTTCGAATTACGCCATTGTTGAAGGCAAGCAGTGTGTGCTGCGATTGTTTTTGTGTAATAAACTTTGGAAAGTTGAAACAAGCTCGTTACGGTCTAATCAGTGCCATATTGTGAGAAGCAGTGAAAGAAATGCAGTGAACGTCTACAAAAAATCTTCGTGAGTGAGGTAAGTAAAAGCCATTGTGTCAATGTTAGGTGCTTCTTGTCGGTCCGTGCTCCCCATAACAGCTTTACCGACATGAACTCTGATGAATCCGGAACAGAATTAATTTTGGCTCGATGGGGGGTGGAGTCCAGGTGGGTCCTATCGGCACGGCGACCACTGATTGGCCTATTGTAGCCTGTCCTGGGTGGTTATGATGATGGAGAATTTGGTGGAATGAAGATTGGCAGGGGAAACTGAAGTACTCGGAGAAAACCCGCCCCAGCGCCACTTGGCCCACCACAAATCCCACTTAACCAGATCCGGGATCGACCCCGGGCCGCCGCTGTGGGAAGCCAGCGACTAACCGCTTGGGATATGGCGCCGCCTATATCCGGAACAGAAACTAAAACTCTTGGCAGGGAGAGCGATAACGTTCTGTTTTACTTAATAATTCAGATTCAAGGATAAGAACGGAGGGATAAGAGGAACTTTGGAGCTAAGAGGAGTGAAACAAGAGGACGTCGGAAAAAATTTACATCATTATGAGATTACGTTTGAATTACAGTTCGTGTACCCAAATTCAAAACCATTTTACAGAAAATCGATATTATTTTCCCAGTACTCGGGTTACGAATTGGTGGATGTATCCAAGTTGTCTCTCTTGTTCACGTGCAAACAATATCTCAACAGTGAGATACACGTGGACCTCACAAGCGAAGCTGCACTACTTCATTAGTTCTTGCCAACGGACCGAACGCTAGAGAAAAATTCTCTAGAGAGACAGACGGACAGACGGACATTTCGGAGGCGCATTACTGCTTCCACACGTTAGACAGATGGACAGGTAGGTAGGTAGACAGACAGGCGTGGAGCTCAGTATCGCTCTCAGCGGCTCACTTCGAGAGTTGTGGTTTGGTTTTCCCTGTCCATATCGATCTGCAAAATATTTCAGAGGCGGAGTAATGAAAGTTGCTTCAAACCAGATTAAAAGAGACATTCAGTATTGGTTGTCGTACACGCAAATTGGTTTCGCCTCTAATTTCAATATTATTTCGAAAAATGTTATTAGCTCATGCGTTACATCTGCTATGAAGTTCTTTCATTATCTATGTAAACCCAAATGGACAAACTTTTTTGCGGCAGAGAAACTTCGGAAGTCTTGAATTGATTCAGGTGCCTCGTTGTACCGGCGGTTCTGTAACCTTATTCCGTATGTGAATATTGAATATGTAAAAGAAAAAAGGTCAATCTATCGCTGTAAGCGGCCCATAGGTTTGTGAGACGTCGAGGCTCCCACGTTTCTTAGACAGTCGGCTCCCTTTACTCCCAGGAAGATTCCTGGTACTCATTTCAGTTAGAGGTTCAGTCGATTCCAGGGCAATAGTGCGGCTGGAAGGATTAGGTGAATTGAAATATCCAATTATCTCTTCGGGAATCGAACCTGCGACTTGTAACATAGGGCCTCAACCAACCACGCTACCACGTGCACCGAATTTTGGATATATTAATACACATAATGGATCTATAGATAAATTAATTTTAAAAGAAAGGTAAATTTGTCCCTGTGTTGATGAGTGCCAAGTCAGCAAAGAAGGGAAGAGTGTATCAAAGCGCTAAAACACGCCAACGCCAGGGAACGGCTGGCATCGTCCGGGCGTAGTCAAAGACGCCGTGAATACTCAATGTAGGAGTGGAGGAATATCTCAATATTCTTGGCCTAGGCCCCGGCCGCCTTAATACAGGAACTAAATCCTCCGTTACCCATTGTATTATATATTTATTTACTATATGTATAATTTTATTTATGGGGTCGACTCAGCCTCTAACAGATATGAGTACCAAGAATATTCTTGGAATGTTCTTGGTGGTAAAGGGGGCCAGCGCGTAAGGCTGACAACCTTGCCGCCATCTTTGAGCCTATTGTCTAGATAGTGTGGGACCCTCAACGTCTCACAACCCTATGGGCCTCCATGGCCTGTTACAGGGATAGCTTTACTTTTCTTATTTATTTGATTCCAGATAGGGGCAGGACAGTTTTCTTCTCCTTCACTCCCATATCGGCAATTGTACCCACATATCCTCGTCTCTCATGGTTATCACGGTGTTCTATCTGCGGGGACAAGACGACTAGAGCGTGAAGCTAAACAATTACCTTTGTATAGTGCAGAGATTAACAAAATAACAGGAGCTAGAAACAAAAAGAAAAAGAAATTTAATAACTCAGAAGTATATTAAAATAGGCGTTGATATCTAAGTCCATTCGTCCATATCTTCATAGTATGATATTTCGTTAAACACAGGAGTAACTTCACCTTTGTCTCTTCCTAATTTACGTACGGCGCTGTCAGTGGTTTGGATTAATTAGCCTGGAATAATAGGATCATCAGCCGATCACAATGACCGAGGTATGAACCGTCTTCGCACTCTCGAACACTGGGATCGTCGGTTCGAATCCCATTTCATGCATAGATATATATATGTGCATTTATTCTATGTCTGTATTGTGCTGTGTGTAGGCAGAGGTCTTGCGATAGATAGGCCATTGGATGGATGGGTAAAGGCGGGTAGAGAGTGCAGGCTGGAAAATATATATTCACAGTTTCGAATTTTTCTCTAAATGCATTTATTTAAGGTGAGAATTTCACCTAGTATTTATTGGCTATAACTGCTGATAAGGTGACAGTGAGGAAATTGAAAGCATAGTTCACAATGAACCATAAAAAAAAACAAAAAAATAAAAAAAAAGTCGATAAATTCTTAACGTCCCTGTCTACAGCATCAGGTCACTTTCTGATGACAATGAATTATTTAAACCGTGTCAGTGTGCAAAACACCTGTGATTCCTTGATTGCCAGGGCTTAATGACACAACATCCAGGTTTTTCTTATGGTATATATGTACCAGGAAATTTGTCTTGCTAACTAATTTTTTTTCGCTTAGTAGTGGGTGGAGTCCAGCTGGGTCCACTCGACATGGCGGCCACTGATTGGCCTATTGTACCTGCACAGGGTGCTAATGATGATCGAATGAAGATTGGCAGAGAAAACCGCAGTACTCGGAGAAAACCCGCCCCAGCGCCACTTTGTCCACCACAAATCCCACTTGACCAGACCGGGGTTCGAACCCGGGCCGCCGCGGTGGGATACCAGTGACTAACCGCTTGAGCTATGGCGCGGCCAATGTAAGCAATTAGATTTATATCTGTCTTGTTGTGTTCATGGCCAGAACACCACGAAAAATTACGTACCCTTTAAATTTTGGGAAGGTTGGTGTATGTTGAATCCGGAAAGAATTGGACGGGAGCGGTCGTAATATATTCGAAGTGCTGCTCAGAAACTTATTTGCAAGGACTGAGGAAAAGTGCCAAAGCGTCAGTCAGGACAGTCTGTGTTCCGACATGCAGGCAGGCATATCTAGAAAATGAATCTACAGTGTTACCGCTTCGACAACCTGCTCGGTGAGAATAACGAATGTTCTTACCGAATGTGTAACTTTAGTGCAAGATAACCTTGAAGGGATTCGAAGCTAAGAATATGAAACAATTTGGTTATCATCCTGTACAATGTTGAAATTTCTTGCAGTGCGAAACAAAGGCGTCACTGAATGGAAACCACTGTGAAAGTTGCAAGTGACAGCTGCAAAATGCGATATTATATCGAGTTTATAAGAAAAGTCGATAGGACGATGGTAACATTGATTGTTTTCAATTCAAGTTACATCTATCAGTTGTCTCACTGTTATTGCAGTTGTAAACGGTGATATCTTGTGATATGTGATGCCATGTAGCCCAGTAAAGTTCAATGTTTCAGAGGAAGATATTGTTTCCATCTTCAGGTTATAAGAGTAAAGTAACCAGAAAGAAGAAAGCAAAATGTCTTGCTAATTCATTTTCTTACTCTTCGGTCTTATGATAGAGGGAGTACGTTGCTCTATGACGTCGGTCTTCACGGCGTCACACTCCAGAAGATCAAGATTTACAGACTCCGGAATTTTTGCAGCTGTGTAAGGAAAGAGGAATTTTATCCATAAGGAAAACCGAGTGGATTAAATATTTGAAATGAAACTAATACAACGCCCGTGGAAAATTCGATGTGACACCACAGAATTTATTATATAAGCTTTCGTATTTTTAACTTCCGGTGATCTCTCACATATTCCTTTTTCAGTTCTACATGTTATCGAATGATTAGCCAAGGTAGGCTTTTAACACACACTCCCACGAATAACACGCGCAAATAATCTACCGTAAACTGTTCCCTTTACGAAGTGTACTGAATTTAAGATATCGATATCGAAATAATTGTCAGTGCTCATGAGGTAGACATGATACACGAAAACCAAAGACAACTGACTTGTTTGTGACTCAATTCATAATTTATGTTCATGCAACTTATTCATGGCAGTTCGTTGCTATGGAAACGCGAGATTGCGTAGTAGTAATGTTGTTACGCTTACGAAATTTTAGTCTAATTTTATAAAATAAGTTCATGCGATCTCCATGCTGTCTGTATGCCTGTCTATCCCTTTAATCAACTTTTGAACGCCTGAACTAATGTTTATGAAATTTGATATACACGTACATATCATGGTAACTGAGCAGGTCTCAGCTGCGCACTTCATAAATCCCTCCCACAAGTCTATGTCTCTGTATATGAATCTCTCCCACCATTGTTAGACAAAGGCACGGTCAAATATATCCTCCTTCCATTGCTAGGCAACGGTTTTTAACCATGTTCCCACATCAATCAATACACGCTACAATAGAATAATTGCTGGAAGCGTGTGCCTGTGAGTCTGTGTATCCGCATTTAGTTGCTAGGTAACAACTCGATAAAGACTTTCTTGCTGCAACGAAGATTTGTTGGAGTTGTCATTTCCATGCGGTCAGTGTCCTATCACAGTAAAGTAGGCGATTGTTTTATTTTGTAAACTCTTCTTGTTTATATGTGAAAGAAGTTAACTGGGTATGGTGTAGAGGCTAAACTTCGTTTGGTCCGTAAGGTTCAGCGAAAGTACACTGA